CAACTCATCTGGCCTTCGTTCATTAGTGTTCAAAGCCTCAAATCTGTTCCTGAGATGGTTCTGAAATTCAGGTGGGATAGACTCAAAGTCATATTCAGTGATAATAATCAACACTCTTGGTACCAGCAGCCAGAAAATTAAAAGACGAATTGCACTGGGAAAGTCTGCTGTCAGAGACCTCTCCAAGGGACTGAGGAGCAACGATGTCAGTCTAGAGACTAAGGTGTGCCTGATACAGGCCATGCTCTTTGCAATTAATTGCTATGCATCAAAGAGCTGGACAATGACTAGGGATGATAGAAGGAAAGTTGATGCCTTTGAGCTGTGGTGGTGGAAAAGTATTGAATGGTCAGCTAGGAAAACAAACAAGGTCTTCCTGGAGAGGATGAAGCCAGGCTGCTTCTTGGAGGCAAGGATCCTGAAGCTTCGTCTGACATACTTTGGACATGTTGCAAGGAGAGACCAGTCCTTGGAGAGGGACGTCATGCTTGGGAGGGTGGAGGGACAGCGCAGGAGGGGAAGACCCTCTATGAGGTGGATTGGTTCATTCACTGGGGTAATGGGAATAGGCATGTGGGAGACCATCAGTTGGCACTGGATAAGCAGGGTTTAGGGCTTTTGTACACAGGGTCGCTGTGAGTCGCAGGCGACTCGACGACACATAACAACAACAGCAACAAAGGTGAGGAGGCTCAGACACAAAGAGCGGGGCTTTCCTCACAGTCGAGCTGGGATGCTAACTCTTAAATCCTACACCGCTTCTCGGAAGCTAGGAGGACAGTTAGTCAGTGTCGTGGCCCTCGGAAGTGGCAGTTCCACACTCATCCTGTGGTTTATGGGTGCTGGAAAGCCTTTTGTTTGTTCCTGGAGACTCTGCCACCCCTCACTCTTCTCCCCTGCCCCCTCTCCCGGCGTCTGTAAGGGAGCGCCCATCCACACGGCCATTTCTCCTGCTAAGAACAGCGTGGTGGGGTGCGTGGGGTTTGTTTTTTTGTCTTAAAGAGGTATCACGAAACGACTCCTGCTCGGATTTGCCTGAGATCCAGAATGGATGGAAGACGACGTCTCACACGGAGCTCGTGAGAGGGGCCAGGATCACCTACCAGTGTGACCCCGGCTACGACATCGTGGGGAGCGACACCCTGACCTGCCAGTGGGACCTCAGCTGGAGCAGCGACCCCCCGTTCTGCGAGAAAAGTAAGACGGCCTTCTGTTCTTCTAAGTCAGGGGTGGGGGGAACTCTGTCCCCAAGGGATTTGTTTGTTTGTTTGTCTTTTGCTATTTATGAGAACTAGAAAGAATGAAAGTGAAGAAATACATCCATTTTAACCCCACTGTCCTTTAAATGATCATCATTATAGTGTTTCAATAATTACTCTTGTTACATATATTCCTATTCTAAATATGCACTAAATACACGTGTTCGGTATAGAAATTTTGGGAGTTGCAGAAATGTACAAGAGAAACTTGCCCACACCATCCAAAGATTGTAGTTAGCATCTCAGTATATTTTTATTTCTGTGCACAGAGGTTTTTTTTGTTTCTTAGTATGGTTGTGGTCATTCTATCTATCTGTAATTGTCCCAACAATAAGAATGAAGGCAGTTTTGGGGGGTTTGTTATTCATTTCAATCAACATTTACAGAGACTTAGGGTTTCCATTCATTCATTGTTGCACTTTTCTCCCTGCCCACCCCTCCCCTCCAGTTCAGTCTTTTTGAAAAGTAAAAGAAAAATTCTTTCATTGTTATACAGTCCCTCCCCCCAAGTCAACTACACTGTGCAGCCTTCGTTCTGGACTCCTGTCATGACAATAATACCCAATCATATATCCCTTTTAAACAGTTCTCTCCCTCATCTGTTTCAATGCAGTATACATTATTTATCCCCTCTTTCTCAGTCTTCCCTCAACCCCAATGTCAGTCCTGTTTTACAACAGTGGCACCATGCAGTATTTGTCCTTTTGTGACTGAGACAGTTCACTCAGCATAATGTCCTCCAGGGTCACCCATTTTGAATAATATTGCATGAGTTGCTTGTTTTTCAATGCAGCGTAGTATTCCATTGTGTGGATATACCACAGCTTCTCTATCCATTCGTTTGTTGATGGACAAGAATGAAGTTTTTTAAATAATGAACCATTTTTTTAAAAAGCTATATCAGGCAAGGTCTGAGAGAGTCCCGACACGAGGCTACCGTTACTGTCCTTTCCCGTATATAGAGACAGCAATCTCGGAAGCGCTAATGGAGGAAACTCCAGAGTACAGAATTCCTTGTCAAAGGAATATCCCATGAGGTATTTTTCTGTCTGAATGCAGCAGAGTTTGGCCAATGCGGAGTCCCACCTCCCTTCACCAATTCATTTACGATGCTTGGAAAAAGGCATTTTATAGCCCCAGACCAGAATCTCAAGCTCGATGCCTTCAGAAATCTGTCGTTGCTCTTGTTGTTAGGGGCTGTCAAGTCGAGTACAACTCAAAGCGATCCTGTAAACAACAGATCTGAACCCTGTCCTGTCCTGTGCCATCTTCACACTGCCTGACACACTCAAGCCCGTTGCTGCCGTCACTGTCAATCCACCTGGTTGAGGGTCTTTCTCTCCTTTGCCGTCCCGCCACCTCTCCCAGCATGATGTCCCTCTCCAGGGAATAACCTCTCCAAGCCAAATGGCTATCACTTCATTTCATCCGAAGTGTCAACTTCATTCCTTTTTTTAATTGGCTGGCTGTTTTCTTTTTTTCTCTGTATTGATTTTTTTAATTAAAAAATAATAGATGTGTAAGGTGTGTGTAACCCAACCCTAACACTGGTCTGAAGTTAGCTATTCAACGGATTCCTTAGTAAATAATTTTTGGTCACTGAAATGTTGAGCTATGCTTTGATGTTGAGAAGAAACTCTCTGTTAAGACCGCCTGAGTTTGATCTTCTAGGATCCAGATAAGCCTCCCACCCTCTGTAGTGCCCAACTTTGCATGGACCAGGCGTCTGGAAACCAGTGTGTTACACCGAAGCAGCTCTGTGAGACTCCACATCCAGGGCTTGTTTTCCAAAGAAGAGGTTTAGAGTAGCAAAACTAGGCACCTCCTAGGCGGCTGCTGTCAAGGCAGATTCTGAGATGTAACCAAACTTACAGTGCCAGGTCACCTGCTACCACAAAGTTTGTAACAAATACAGTTCAGTTACAAAGGAAAAAAATAAAATAATAGATGTTTTAGTATATTAATATGCCACAGAGACAGCAGTGCCTGCCCCAGCCCCAGAGTGTTTGTTGTGAGGAATACTCGGGATTTCAGACAGTGACAGTTGCAGGACAGTAAACCCTTCCCTTATTCATAGAATCACATTCATGCTCCTCTTAGTGGTCTTATTTAACTGTGTGATATATATATTATATTGTGTGTGTATGTCATTGTGCACCATTGAGTCAGAACCAACCCACAGCTGACCCTCCAGCAGGTTTTCAGAGGCTGTAAATCTCAAGGGAGGAGATTGTCCATCCCTCTCCTGCAGAGCACATGGTGGATTCAAACCACACGCCTTGGGATTGCAGCCCTATTTCTTACCACTAGGCCACCAGAGCTATAAGTAAATATTATTGGACCTCAGTGCAAAGGTTTCTGTCCATGAATTCCTAGAACTGTGATGGTGGTGGTGCTGGTGGCAGTATATGCCTTTCAGTCGGAACTGACTCCTATCTGCTCCTTCAGTGGACTTTCAGAGACAGTTGATCATAGGAGAGGAGATCGCCCACGTTCTCTCACAGAAGCACGAGTGGATTCAAACCGCCTGCCTTTGGGTTGGCAGCGCAACTCCTTACCAACTAGACCACCAGAGCTCCCTCTTCCTAGAACTAATGATAAGAAATTCAACCCTTTTGCCTCTTGGGGATGGGGTAGGGGAGAGGAGATATGCTTATCCTTCAAAAAGGAAACAGAATTAGGAAACTTTCTAGGTAATTCTGACTTCTCAGAAAACCAGGTAAAAAAAAAAAGAAAAAACAGATAGATAGATAGATAGATAGATAGATAGAGATATATTTGTTGTTGTTGATTGCTGTCAAGTTGAGCACAACTCATAGGGAATAGATATATAATAATAAATATAATAAAAATAAATATAATAGGGAATATATATAAATAAATAGCGAAAATATATATACATCCACACATATATACACATATATGCATACACATATATATATACACATATACACGTGTACACACCCGTGTGTGTGTGTGTGTGTATTTGGAAGCAGGAGTAGCATCCACTTCCTAAATAACATGCCTTCAGGAACTCTATGAACTTTGATAAATGTCAATGGTTGTAGAGGGGCTTCCAAAAATATGTTTTCTCCTTTGGTTGAGGCTTGGGTGTGGTCTCTTGCTCACTGTTGGGTATGAGCTAATTGGATTTGGCCTCATATTTAAAAAGATACTTGACCTGAGGGTCTGGTTTTGTTTTTTCAATTGTTTTCAGTCAAACATTCTCCTAAGTGCTATAGCACTGGTCTGTCCCTTTGCTGTGCAGAGGTAGCTCGTGGTTGCTGTGATGTTAAACACTGTGACACTGATGTGTCAAATGCATTAATGGTCACCCATGGTGGACAGTGTTTGGAGAAGCTCCCGATTAAAACAAGCTTGGAAGCAGGAGTGGCATCCACTTCCGAAGTGGCTTGCCTCTGGAAACTCTATGAACTTAGAGAAATGATGAAAGCTATACAAGTGTTCAGGTCTTTTGTTCATAGGGTTGCTATGAGTCATCTATGACTCCATGGCACTTAACAACAACGTGTGTGTGTGTGTGTGTGAGAGAGAGAGAGAGAGAGAGACAGAGAGAGTGTGTGTGTATGTGTGAGTGAGAGAGAGAGAGAGTATGTGTGTGTGTGTGTGTGTGTGTACATGCGCGCGCACACCCCTCTTCCTGGAATCCCAGATCCCAGGGTCCGGGCTTGGCTGCTCCGTTCCTGTCCAACCTGCGTGTGCACTGACATGGTCTGTTCTCCATCCCGGGCAGTTATGTACTGCACTGACCCCGGAGAGGTGGAGCACTCGACACGCCTGATCTCGGACCCTGTGCTGCTGGTGGGCACCACCATCCAGTACACCTGCAACCCCACCTTCGTCCTCGAGGGCAGTTCTCTGCTGACCTGCTACAGCCGCGAGACCGGCACCCCCATCTGGACGTCCCGGCTGCCGCACTGCGTCTGTGAGTCTTGTTTTGAATGACTCAGGTCTCCCGTGTATCTCTCAGTCCCTCCCTCTTGCTCTGATGAAGGCTGGGATGCCTGATGGGGTGCTCTGTGCTGGTGGGGCTTTAATCCTTACTCCTTCTGCTCAGTCACTTCTTGCCGTGTTATCAGACCCTCCAGCAGGTTTTCAGAGGCTGTACGGTTGCACAGGAGGAGATTGGGAGGGAGAAGCTTGGCACAATGGACAGACACAGGGGACTGAGCTTACTGGAACTTGTGAGGGTGGTGCAGGCTAGGACGCGGTTCTGGCCTGTTGTTCACAGGGCAGCTCTGACATCGCTGTGTCCTTAGACGTGACAGCACCGAACAACAACAAGCACCTCATCCTATAATTAGTGTTGGTAACAGACATTACCACATCCAGGTCTCTCTCACCTACTTCTTCCCATTTCCTTGGGTGACTAGGAAAATGGTTGTAAGAAGGAAATTTCTTCCAGCTGCAGAGACCCAGTGAAAAAGAGTTAAAAGTGTTTTAAAATACTAGAAAGTGGATGATGATGTTGTTGTAATGTGCTATTAAGTAGCCTGTGACTCATAGTGACTCTCTGGACAACACCGCTGAACCCTGCTCTATCCTGAGCCAACCTCACCGTCTCTGACACACCTACCCCCCTTACCCCCGTCACTGAGTCAGTCCATCTCATCGAGGGTCTTCCTCTCTTGCACTGTCACTCCATTTCTCCCAAACATAATGTCCCTCTCCAAGGACTGGTCCTACCTTGCAACATGTCCAAAGTATGTCAGACGAAGCTTCAGAATCCTTGCCTCCAAGGAGCAGCCTGGTTTCCCCCGCTCCAGGACAAACCTGTTTGTTCTCCCAACAGTCCGCAGTATATTCAGTACTCCTCTCCAGCACCACCACTCAGATAAAAGGGTCAGGTCTTTATTAATGAGGCATGGTCCCAGAGCCCCCTTGCCCACACCTGTTGGATTCTGTAAAACTGACTTCCCACCTGCCCTCGGCCGCCTTCCCAGAATTCTCAGCCCCAGTTCTGCATCATCACAGCTTCCCCAGCACCTGTGCTAATAAGTTCACAGTTGAGCAGGTGTCAACAGAGTGGTGACATCTGAGAGTGGAGATGAACAACAGTGACACAGGCAGGCGAGGCTGGGCAGGATGATGGGGTAGGGGTGACACAGGGCAAGTCTTTGCAGCTGGCAGTCAGGAGAAGGGGTGGGAGTCCAGGAGAGATTTGAAAGTTGAGGCTGTTAAACATCAGACAGCTTCCCAGTCTTCATCTTTTGGGGTGGCTTGGCCTTTGGATGCTGAAAGCTTTGCTGCAGGTCACCCATGGCGGACAGGTTTCCATGGAGCTTCCAGACTAAGACTAGGAAGAAAGGTCTGGCGATCAACTTCTGGGGGCGGGGAAAAAAGCTGAGGAAACCCTCTGGGTCTCAGCACAGCATAGTCGAGCTTGTTTTGTTTGGATATACCAGTAGAGAAGAATATCATACTGAGCAAAGTGAGGGCAGGAGGGGGCCCCTTAGTGAGATAGGTTGGCCCCATGACTGCAATGATGTACTTAGATATGCTAGTGATTGGAGAAGGCATGGGATTGGACAGCATCCAGGGATCCTTAATAAGGTCACCACTTCAATCCGAGAGGTGTGTGGTTCACATCCACCAGATGCTCTGCTGGAGAAGGAGGAACAATCTCCTCCTGTGCCAGTCAGATCTGATTTGACAGTACACACACACACACACACACATAATAAAATTTAAAAATTTTTTAAAAAAAAGAATAAGGTCACCACTTGAAACCATCTGACCACAGAACCAGCCCTAACTTACCCATCTGCCCTTGCGGCCTCAGTACACCAGCTGGCTGGCTGTTACTATTACTGCCATTGCTATTGTTAGCAGTGTTCTCTTCATTGCCTTGCTGTTACTTCTCTGGACGTCCTTGCAATTCCCGTCTTTGGTGAGGCGTGGCCGGGGACCTCTGAGGTTTCAAGACACAAATTCTATCACCAAAAAGGGGACGAGGCAGAGGTGACAAAACCCAGGATTGTTTTCTAGGCAGCTCTTAGGTGAGACCTTAGCTTACAAAGAGACGGTGGCACCCCAGGAAGTTCTGGCCCAGCACAGCCCTGCCCCCCAGAACATCACAACCCTGGACTTGGGATTCCCAGTCCGGCCACAGCCATTGGGTGCTGTGGCCAACAGTAACCTGGTAACAGGCAACAACCTGACATATATACATAAACCACAGAGACTAGATGCTAAGTTATTAAAATATTATTGAGATTTTGTATTACAAATAACTTTTAGCAGGGAGCTCAGGTGGCCTACTGGCAAGACACTGCACTGCAATACCAGAGGTACGCGGTTCAAATCCACCAGATGCTCTGCTGGAGAAGGAGGGGGCAATCTCCTCCTGTGCC